AAGGTCTTGGACCAGATGACTCTGAGCCGGGCTAACCTGGAGATACAGGTGGAGAGTATGACGGAGGAGCTGATCTTCCTCAAGAAGAACCACCAGGAGGTCAGTGGGCTTTCAGGTCTAAAAGAGTTTTGGGGTAAATAAAATGGCTAAATGACATTAAACACTGTCACCTTGTAGGAGCTGCTGGCGATGCGAGCTCAGATGGGCGGTCAGGTGAACGTGGAGGTGGATGCGGCTCCAGCAGAGGACCTCAATAAGGTCATAGAGGAGGTCAGGAAGCACTACGAAGCCACTGTTGCCAAAAGCCGCAAAGAACTGGAGGCGTGGTTCAATGCAAAGGTAAGGACCTGATTTTAGCCACGCTAGAGACTCTTGGACTCACGTCTGTCCGTCCACCCCTGTAGTTCAGACTGAAACATTGTGATGAAATGTGGTTCAGGCCTTCATGCTCCCCTCAGGATGAACTGTAATAACTTTGGTGATCCTCAGACTTTCCATCTAGCGCCATCATCAGGTCAACATGTTAATAACGTGCTGTTTCCTCTACAGACAGAAAACCTTCACAAAGAAGTCGCTATCAGCACAGAAACCCTCCAGTGGTCCAAATCCGAGACCACACAGCTCAGCCGAACGCTGCAGAGCCTGGAGATCGAGCTGCAGTCCCAGCTCAGCATGGTGAACATCACGTCTCATCACATCTTTTATGTCCAGTGTCTTTGTGAGGCAATAAAACTGATCCAGCTCCTCTCTCCTGCAGAAAGCGTCGTTGGAGGCCACCCTGAATGAGACTCAGAACCGGTACACCATGCAGCTGGCGGGTTACCAGAACCAGGTGACCATGCTGGAGGATCAGCTGACGCAGCTGAAGGCCGAGCTGGAGAGGCAGTCCCAGGAGTACCAGATGCTGCTGCACATCAAGACCAGGCTGGAGATGGAGATCGCCGAGTACAGGAGGCTGCTGGATGGAGAGGCCAGCGGCAGGTGAGCGAGCTTTAGTTATCTGAGAATTAAAGGGTTGTTTACAGGATATTGTGAGCTGATATCACATCTTACTTTATGCCATGGCGTTTCAGTCCTGGGTTTTATTACCTGAAGAAAATGTTACTTCATATTTTGTTCAAATGTTTTAATAAAATTGGCCTTGATAAAAGACAAAAATGCCCTGAAATACAGGACAAAAGTTCCATCCCCCTATTTCTTACCTGATTATTCAGGTTCCCAGGTGTTTTACTGCTGCATGATTATTGGCTCAAATAAGAGTCAAACACTGTGTTTACGAAATTATTTCATTAGCCGTTTTAAACCTGTGAAAAATTCTGCATGAGAAACTTATAAAGTGAGTGAATGTCTCGAGATTAGTACAGAAAATGTGAAATTATTTTTACATTTTTTTCCCACTGTGACAACAGAGAGAGACAAAATATCAACACCATCTGTGACTGAATATATTATTAATGTGAGATGAATAAAAATTTGACTGTTCCGTTTGTCTTCCTCCTGCAGTTTGGCCTCCTCCTCCTCCTCCTCCTCCTCCTCCTCCTCTGCCGTGGCTTCCACTTCCTCCTCCACCATCACCACCACCACCACCCAGAAAATAATCACCATTGTAGAGGAGGTAGTGGATGGAAAGGTGGTCAGCTCCTCCGAAGAGACTGTCAGTCAGACCCTCTGAGCACCAACAGGGTGTACTCTAACTAATAAACAAGCAAGTCAGTTACGGATACTCAAAATAAACACTGTCTCTTGTGTCTTCTGTGTCTGAAGTTGCAGTTCCTCCGATGGCCACCAGGTGCTGCTGCACTGAAAGGTTATGAGGGTCGGGAATATATTACATTTACAAATTAAAACAATAAAAAGTCCAATGAGCCTTGTGGATATTTTGAAAATGAATATTCCATGAAGAAAACAATAAAGCTTAAACATGAGTTTTATATTTTTTAGTAATTAAGTAAAGATGTCTGTTTAGACAGGAACAAGAACTGGAACATTAAAACAGAACAGACAATACAAAACATGCATGTAGTGTCAGTGACGTCACCATAGGATTCTGAAAACCGATTGTGGTCATCTCCATCTTGGAAGTGCCTGACTCACTTAACTCCCAGTTAATCCAAGCCACTGGAGGGGCAACCCATCTGTCACTCAATGTGGCCACACCCATAATTCTGCAGACCCTCAAGCCTTAAAATAAGTTGAACAGGTGAGTTATATAAAAATTCACCCACTTCCTGTCATGAAGGGGGAGATTAGCTATAGAGACCTAAACCATTTTTTTGCCAGGCTGTAAACATGAAGGTAAACCAGAAGACATGCAGGCACAAAATATGCACATCACATAGTATCCTAAACAGTCACATGAGCAGTCGCTCCTTACAGAAGATCAATATATTCAGGAACTGACTTTTTTCTCATGTGGACTTCAACTGAGAAAGATCCTGATGCCCGGAGGTTGCAGCTTGACTGAGCAACACTCGCCGTCAATAAGCTTCCATATATTTCATAGAACAATTGCAAAGACATTTGAAAATGTTTTTTTGAAAGTTTTACACGTATAAAAGAGAAGGATTAAAAATTCACAATGCAAACCGTAATAATTGACCCTGTTGGAAGTTGCGGTAAGTTCTGAAAGAGTTTCCTTAAATAAGGTCGAGGCCTTAAACAATCTCATCTCACAATCAAAGCTATTTCATTTCTTGTCCTCGATGTCCTGATTTTGAACAAAGTGTCCTGCAGCAGTGCCAGAGAGTCTGGTTGGATCTTCATTCCAACAACATGAAAGTGAAGCAGCCTCAGCCAGTTTAACCAGTCTGTCCACATCTAAAACACTGTGGTTTCAGTCTCTGGTCCCCAAAGGCTCCAGATCATAGTAACAAATTTATTTTAATTTTGCAGTGAAGTATTTACATTTTAAACTTTATGATTGGAAATATTGTCCTTGTGACGCCGCTACATTTGTCTTTAGTTACTTTGCAGATTTAAATAAATAATACAAAATCTAATCAACCAATGAAATACAATGTGTTATGAATCTGCCCAGCAGATCATCATTTCTTTAGGTTTAGAAAAATAAACTACAGGTTTAAATAACTACATTACTTACTTGACTTAACTAAAATTAATCAAGTACTTACATAACCTAACTAAAACAATGATGTATTTTTTGTTTCACACGGGAAATGAACACAGGTGTCCTGGGTGAAAGTTTGGATTCTGAGCCACCTGTCCACCTCCTTACTCGGACTTTTCTGTTATTTATATCCTACACCTTTTTTTTTAGCGTTTAATGTTGACGCCAAGGGACTTCCCACTGTGTCACAAACTTGGGAGAACGAGTTGATTGAGACGTTGTAATTAATTAATTTAAAGGCCGATAGAATCACTTCCTTAAATTCAGCTACAGCGCATTTATGCATAAGGGCGCATAGTCCGGCTATAGGAACTCAAAAGTTATTAAATAGTGGTCAGATAAAAAGGGGTTCTGTGGAAAGAGTGCTATATGTTAAATTTTGATGCCATATGTCAAACAAGGTTGAGGGTGTGGTTTAAACAGTGAGTGGGTTTATGAACACTCTGAATACTGTTATTCTCAACGTCCACATGCATACACAGTGTGCACAAATAGGCAAGCGGGTATTTTAACCCTATAATCATTTTTATGCATATTTTCCAACTCCAAGCGGTATAAAGTTTAATGCTTATTGGATTTAAGCATATCAGGTGTTTTAGCGTAATGCTGCAGGGTGTGGCCTAAGGAGATCAACACCCTGTATCAGGGGTCGTCAGATAAGTCTGGCATCGGGCCAATTTTTTAAGCCGTTACATGGCGGGCCAGAATGCAGTCAAAGTCACATGCTCACAATAAAGCAATGTGCAAAGTGTGTGTGTGTGTGTGTGTGTGTGTGTGTGTGTGTGTGTGTGTGTGTGTGTGTGTGCGTGCGTGCGTGCGCGCGCGCGCGCGTGTCCTGGCGTTTGAGCTGCATTCATAAATCCATCCAATCACGCGTTTACTGACTGCTTTTTCAGAGGAGGGATCCAGAGATTCTTTTGAACGTCCTTTAGAACAGCTCTCAATGAACTCAACATAAAGAATTGCTGCAAAAAAAGTTCTTGTGCTTTTATTTTGGAGGCACAATCACTTAAGAGGAAGAAGTGATTATGTGAGTAACTGTTGATCTCATGACTGAGATCTATTTCAGCCACCAGTACTTATAAAAAATTTTTTTATTAGGCAGCTTCTTTTCCTCAGGCAAAATGGGACAAAAAAGAGACTTATCTCACACTGAAAAGTCAAAATTCTAAAATGCCATTCAAACGGATGCACCACTCTTAAAATAGCTAACATTTTGAGGCGTGACCACCAGACAATCAAACGTTTTGTTGCTAATAGTCAACTGGGGAGCAAAGAGCGCATGGAGAAGAATATTTCCTCATTATGTTTTGTCTTTCTTCCTTGCATCTCTCCATGCATCCCCAGTTGGAGGGACTAAGACGCAAGTGAGGGAAATGTGGAATTTAATTAAGAAAATTTAGATGCACATTATGTCTGATAAAATGAGTTCTGCACCAAACAGAGGAAGGACCAAAGTGCCCTGAGGGTGCAATTCCCCACCTCTCTTAGGCCTTCAAGAATGGGCTTCATCACAGCCTGATTGGCCAAGAGGGGAATCACCAATCAGTGTTGAGGAGTCAGTACCCACACCCTGTGAAACAGCTGATCTGAATGCTTTAAACAACCCAGATTTGACGTTGAGCAAAAATGGGAAAAAGTAAAATGTAATAGCAGCATATACGAATGAATGAGGGACAGCTGCAACATTAATCTGATGAACACATTACTTTTTCCAACACCGTCAGATTTGGTAAAATAAAATAAAGCAAATTAGAAAGAGCAAAGACAGGTTCTTGTTACTGGACCTTGTGGCTCTTTGTTATTTTACCAACATTATCGGTTTGCAACCTTTTTAGCTCCCAACACCTTCAAACTAAATCATCACACATTTGACCTCAGTGGGAAAGCAGTGTTTTCTTGAGCCATGAAGGAACATTTTAACTTAAGGTTTTAAACCTCCTGACATTCCTGCTGTCCTCAAATCTCCCTGTGTGCAGACCTGAGACCTGGTCGTCAGGGCTCTGTGAGGACTGACTGGACCAGACCATACAAATAGCCCTGAGCAGCTGTCATAGCTGTTTAAACCCACCCGACCTGCTGGAGTTCAACTTCAGCACAGACCTGTTTCCTTTGTGGCCCCGGGGCCATAATGTGACAACTCCAGCATGTTTGGCATCCCAACCTGACCTACCACACTGCCCCCCCAACCTCATTTTGAGGCATAAAAGCAGGCACCTTCCCAGCAGCTCTTCACTCTCTGCTCAGAGCCGACGACCAGCCGACCCTCAGCCATGACCTCCTTCTCCAGCCGCAGCAGCTACATGTCCTCCCCCGTGAGGAGCTCCGTCATGATGGCCCCCTCCATGTCCTCCTCGTCCCGCCTGGGGAGCATGAGGGCCGGCAGCGTGTATGGAGGAGCTGGAGGATCTGGAGTCCGTATCTCCATGTCCTCCTCCTCCTCCTCCAGTGCTGGCGGTGCCTTCAAGCTGAGCGACGCCATGGACGTCTCTGTCAGCGAGAAGGCCACCATGCAGAACCTCAACACCCGCCTGGCCACCTACCTGGAGAAGGTGCGCAGCCTGGAGAAGGCCAACGCCGAGCTGGAGCTGAAGATCAGAAAGTTCCTGGAGAGCAAAGCTGCGCCGGAGGCTCACAACTACAGCAGCTTCAACGTCCAGATCAAAGACCTGCAGGACCAGGTGAGCTTAAGAGTTTATTTATAAAAGCTTAAAATCAAACAGAACATGAAACATTGGTAAAAGAGAAAAGGATTGTGTTGGTGAGATAAAAATTGAATCCAAATAAAGGCATCCAACCAGAAAAAAACACATACAGGAGATAAAAAAATATGTTAAATTAAAATAAATTCCTGTGATTTTTGAAAAAGGCTGAAAACTAGTACAAAGTTTAGTTGGTGCCTTGTCAGAAGTTTCTCTAGGCTTCACTGGCTGAACTTTTATTTACTTTAACATCAGAGAGATGAACCACAAACACCTGACTGATTATATATCAATCAACCTTTCTGGCGTCGGCGGCGGGGGGGATTTCTTAAGTTTTAAAGTTTTAAGTTAATATAGCTTCTTTGTTTTTATGATTTTAACGTTTAAGAGAAAGTTTTCAAAATTTTGGGATAGAAAACATTTGTAATTTGCTGGTTTTGGCCACAGAGCTCTATGCAGCAAGTCAATGTGTTGATTTGTTCTTGAAAACAGCTGAATGAATCTAAAGAAGACTTTTAGCCAAACAGTTTTTCTCTTCCTTTCTGCTCAGATCAAATTGGCTGCTTGTGGAAACGCCGCACTCGTCCTCGCCATCGACAACGCCAACCTGGCCAGCGACGACTTCAAAGTCAAGTAAGTGTGAGACTTTGTTTTCTCCAACATCAAATCAATCATATGTCAAGACCTCAACATGAAACAATCCTGTTCAAGATGTCTTTTCGTGATCTCGTTCTTCCCAATCACGTCATCATTTAGGTGAGTTTCAACTCATGTGTTTTTCAGGTACGAGAACGAGTTGACCATGCGTCAGACGGTGGACGCCGACATTGCAGGGGTGAAGAGGGTCCTGGACGAGCTGACTCTGAGCCGGACCGACCTGGAGATGCAGATCGAGGGGCTGAAGGAGGAGCTGATCTTCCTCAAGAAGAACCACGAGGAGGTGAGAACAGTGAACCAGATAGAAAAAGAAATCATAAGACCAAAAGACAGAAGTGTAACTGGATTCTTCCTGCAGGACCTGCTGGCTCTGCGGGCCCAGGTGGGAGGTCAGGTGAACGTGGAGGTGGATGCCGCTCCTCAGCAGGATCTGTCCGCCATCATGGCCTCAATCAGAGAACACTACGAGACCGTTGCTGCTAAAAACCAAAGAGACCTGGAGTCCTGGTTCCAGGCCAAGGTGAGACAATAAAGTCTTGTTTCCTGCTCTGAACCAGGTCACTGCTGCCCCTACTTTCCAAAACCTGCTGTTAAATTAACACCACTTCAAGCTTTTTTAGTTTTAATTTTTAAGTTTTATAACTTTTGACTTTTGAGTTTTAGTGTTTTAGTTTTGAGACTGAAAGTCTCCATCTGCTGACGACAATCATGAGCTGCGATTGAAAGCTCTAGAACAGCTACTAATGTCTACTGTCCGATATCCTGATATTTGATCAATAACAATATTGGTACTTCTCCTCGACAGACAGCTGAGCTGACCAAAGAGGTGGCTGTGAGCACTGAGACCCTGCAGACGTCCAAATCTGAGGTCGGAGAGGTCCGACAAATTCTTCAGAGTCTGGAGATCAAACTTCAGGCTCGGAACAGCAAGGTGAGAGAACACGCTCACATAACTTATTTACTTTATCATAACTTTGACTTTTCACTTCTTTGAACATCTGCAGGAATGTGGATATGAACCGTTTGTGGGGACTTTAAAGTATTAAAGTGTTTCACTGTGAAGTCTGACTGACTGTAACAGCTGACCTGACCGTCCTCCCTCTTCCTCCTGAACAGAAAGGAGCACTGGAGGCGACTCTGGCTGAGACCAAAACCCGCTACGCCAACATACTGGTAGGTTACCAGAGGCAGGTGGGGGCTCTGGAGGAGCACCTGGAACAGCTGAGGACCGACCTGGGGAACCAGAGGATCCAGTACACAGAACTGCTGGACATCAAGACCAGACTGGAGCTGGAGATCGCCGAGTACAGGAGGCTGCTGGATGGGGAGACTGAGAGGTGACTTCAGAGTGTTTTCACAGAGTGTTGACATTGAAAAGAAAAATCTTTTTAAGAAATGGAGACATAAATTAATAAAAAGGCCCAAATGATGTGAATTAGTTCTTTTCTGTCCCGTGTTTCTGCAGCACCTCCACCACCACCAAGACCACCAAGGTCATCACCATAGTGCAGGAAGTGGACAGCTCTGGAAATATGGTGACCAGCAGCAGCAAATAAAACAGGAAACACCCCTGACCAATCAGATGCTGTGAACCGAGTCTCTCTGAGGTTCTTCAATAAAAATGAAGTCTGACATTGTTTCTGTGGGTCATGTTGTTTTATTTCACACTGACATCAGCTGGAATCATTTTTATCTAAAAGAACAGAAGTCTTTTTCAGGCAGGATATTAAATAAAGCCAAAAAAGTAAATATCTTAATACGTTTATGACTGTTGTTGGGCAACATTTAGATCAGTTATATACTGTATCTCAAAAGGGACAAAACATTTCCACAGGAAGCTCTAAACAACCACAATAAGCAGCCTTTAAGCAAGTCTTAAAGGCCACCAGCTAGATGGCGAAGAAACTTCAACAAAGACAAAATAATGTAGAATATGCATTTTTAGCAGAAAATGCATGTGAATGCTGACAGCTGAAAAAGAAGGTATGTGAAATGAATTAAAACCTGAATTTTAGTAGTAATAACAACAGTATTTTTTTTTTTCAAACTGGCAGGGCCTGTCCCTAGTGTTGCCACAAGGTGTATGGACATGAAAGTAAGTAAGCTTTATTTATATAGCACTTTTCAGAACAGCAGGTTTGACATGCTTCAAAATTATTAAAATTACATAATAGTAAACAGCATGAAAACAGCAAGTAAAATACTATTTGTAAAATGAATATACATGCTAACGATAAAAGCAAGACAAGAAACAAAACGACATTAAACAACAAATGAAACCAGCAGGAATCCCAAGCAGCAAACTTTCACGTGGGTTGTTGAAAGTTTTTTAAAAGGTAGAACAGACTCAGTTAACCAAACAGCACAGCACCCCCTGGACCGTGGGTCAGTAATCTTAGCAGATTATTGTATTGAGGATCCCCTCAAGGCTGCGTTCTTTCCCCCCTTCTCTTCTACCTGCACACCAACATCTGCACCTCCAGTCACCAGTCCGTCAAGCTCCTGAAGTTTGCAGATGACACCACCCTCATTGGGCTCATCTCCGGTGGGGTTGAGTCCGCCTACAGGGAGATCGACCATCTGGTGACCTGGTGCAGCCAGAACAGTCTGGAGCTCAATGCTCAGAAGACAGTCATGGACTTCAGAAAGAGCCCAGCCCCACCCTCCCCCATCATCCTGTGTGACTCCCAGTCGCCACTGTGGACTCCTTCCGCTTCCTGGGCACCATCATCTCCCAGGACCTTAAAGGGGAGCTGAACATCACCTCCATCACCAAGAAGGCCCAGCAGAGGATGTACTTCCTGCGGCAGCTGAAGAAGTTCAGCCTGCCAAAGACAATGATGGTGCACTTCTACACTGCCATCATTGAGTCTATCCTCACCTCCTCCATCACCATCTGGTACGCTGCTGCCACTGCCAGGGACAATGGCAGACTGCAGCATATCATCCGCTTTGCAGAGAAGGTGATTGGCTGCAATCTTCCTTCTCTTCTGGACCTGTACGCCTCGAGGTCTCTGAGGCGAGCAGGAAAGATTGCAGGTGACCCCTCTCACCCCAGACACAAACTGTTTCAGACTCTCCCCTCTGGCAGGAGGCTGCGGTCCATCTGGACCAAAACCTCTCGCCACAAAAACAGTTTCTTTCCGTCTGCAGCTAGCCTCATTAACAAGGCCCGGGTCCCCCACTGACACTCCCCCCTTGCAAATGATACAAATGTCTCTGCACATGTAAATACTGTTTCATCTCGTGTCGAGCACAGACCTGGCACATCGCACATATTTGTTGTTGATTGTTGATCTTTGTTGTTGTATATTTTTATGTTGTCAGTTTATATATTTATATGTACACAATATTCTCTTCTGTTGCGTTGCTTCTGCATGGCACAGACCTATAATAATGCACATGTATATATCTGTAACGTTGCTCTTCCATTCCATATTTATATATTTATACATTTATTTATGTTGACTGTATGTTTGTCTACGTGTAGCACCTTATCACCACAGCAAATTCCTCATATGTGTAAAACACTACTTGGCAATAAAGCTCCTTCTGATTCTGATTCTAAAGTCAGTGTTTTTTTTAAAAGCCTGTCTACAATGTTCTGAACTTATTGGTGTTGCTACTTGCTTTTACAGTGTTCTGAGGCAATACTTCACTGAATTAGGCAAATTTCTGAGCCACAAAAAGCAAGACTGAACCACATACTTAATATAATGGTCAAAATTCAGATTTTGGTCAAAGACGACACCAAGATTCCTAACAGATGGTTTTATATTCTCTGCTAAATGCAAGAGGTGCGAAGTATGCATGAGCTAATACTCTTTGAAGGTTGTTATGGAATCCAATCTTTGATAGCAACAAACGCAACAGCTCAGAGTATCCATATTTTATAGGTGGTCAGATTTAAATGATACATAAAGCTGGGTGTCATCTGCATAATAATGGTAGGTAATCTTATACTGACAATAATATGACCAAGGGGGAGCAAATACAAGCTGAATAAGATGGGACCAAGGATTGATCCTTGTGGCATGACACATGAGCTGACAATGAGACAAAACCATCAATAGTCACCCTGAAAGATCTCTCTGTAAGATATGAGAAAAAACATCCGAAGACAGTTCCATCTGTGCTGACCTAGTGTACGCTTAGTCTATGCAGCAAAGTGTCCACAGGACTCAAGTGGATTATTCAATCAACTATGTGGGGGAGGTTTCTGCAGACTGTATACACAAGGTAGTGGGCATTAAAGAGGCTTCAACACTCTTAACCTTTTCAACAAAGTAAGTTAAAACCTTCAACCTTCAAAAGAGGTTGAATAATGGGAGCAATGTAATCTAAAGCTGATGAACATCAAATATTCAGCTGGTCAATTAGGTCATTCACATCATGAAACTTAATTGAAGGTCCAGTGTGTAATATTTAGGAGGATATATTGACTTGCAATATAATATTGAATGCAATTTAATATCCATAATTATTAGGGGTGTGACGAAATCTCACGCCATGAGATCTCGCGAGATTAAAGTGTGATGAGAATTCTCGTCAGGTAAAAATTTGTCTTGCGAGATTCATGCAAATGACATTTTTCACAGCTGTCAAGCCACATACTAATTTTCTCTCCCAGTGAAATACATACAATAAATGTATAACTAAGAAGATAGACTCGCAGAGCTATTCAACTCCGCCAAGCTGATGCCACACCAGCGTATGCCCTGATAGTAATCCACCGCACCCCTTGCGCTGTGAGTCCAGACAGTTGTGACGAGTGGTAACGTTGCTTGTAGAGTTTAGCAAAAAAAAAAATCTAAAAACTGAAGCGCAGCCTGCTCTGTTTGGGACTGTGAGCTGCACTGGAAGTTAACATGTGTGTGGATTTGTGGTGTGTGGTAAATGTTTAATTTACTTTCGGTTTCACATGCAACATGCAGTCCCAAACTGCATCTGTCCAACAGTCTGAAGGGGATAAAGTCGCTACCTGTGGTAGTAGTAGTTGTCTGGTTTATTGGAAGTAAGAAAAGAAATGAAATTTGGACAAATGGAGGACCACACATATTATTTAGTACAATTCAATGGACATTGAACACATGAAGAACCAGAAAATCTGCAGTGTGCAACAACAATGCCCAACGTGCTGAAAATTGAGTCTTTTAGCAGCAAGATTTTTTGTGGTCGGTCCACACCTCCAAAGTTCGCTCAAATCCCTCCAACCAATGTTTCCATTCCTCTAACGCCAGTTTGACAGCTAGAAGTTCCTGGTTCCCTACATCATAATTATGCAGGGAAGAAGTCTTTGGTCCGGAACAGAACACTGTGAGAAAACTTCTCACATCCCAATTACTGAAGCACCAACCTCCACAATGAACTGGAAGAGGTGAGTTGCACAAAGGCCGCTGTTAAATTAGCAAAATTCAAAAAACATTGCAACTGCTTATGGTTGGTGGGTTTCCCCATGGTGTGAATCTTGTCTGGGTCTGTCTTCATCGGTCTGCTTTCAATGTGTCGTCCCAGAAAACTCACAGAACTGCTGATAAATGCACACTTCTCAGCCTTGACAAAAGGTTTGTTTCTCTAACAGAGTCTGAAGTACCTGTCAGACATGGGAGACACAATCGGACAGGTATTGGGAGAAAAATAGAATGTCATCAAGGTGAACTACAGTTAATGAAATCCCTTAGTGCATCATTAACCAGATTTGAACCAGATGGTAAGCGTTCCTGAGCTCAGGTTTTGAGAAAACGCTCCCTGAAGTAGCTCCAAAGCAATATTGTTGAGATCAGAGAAGTCAATACAGGACGTAGGGACTTATTTTTGGACATAAAAAAGGAATCCACGGACAGATTAGGGTTAACGTCCAGTTAAGTTAGCAATAATAAATATGCAAAATCTGGTTAAACTTTCAAAGTAAAAATAAAACTAAATAAACACCTGTCTCCTACCTCCTTACTCAGACTTTTTGTTAACTGTCCTACACCTTTAGCATAAAAAAAGACGCTACAGGGCTCCCCCCCCCCCGAGTGCATTGAACTATGATGCTAAGGGGCTCCCCAGTGCGTTACAAATTGAGGCCAAGGGGTCTTGACCATGCGTCCAGAAAAACCTTATATCACTCCGCTAAACCCCTTCCACCAAACCCACAAGCAGGAACTGGTTGTCTTGTGAAGCCTCAGCCTTCTTCTCAAACGCTGCCCTCTTTGAGAAGAAGAGTTATTCCTCACTGTTTGTCATCATACCTTTCTTCCCAACCGGGGGATGGGATGGCTCTGAAGGGTCTTTTGAAAAGATATTTAATATGATTGACTTTTAACAAGCATTTCCACTTTTGCTGCTATTTTCATTGCATTCATTCATTCAGCTGACTCTTTTATCCAAAGCAACTTACAATTGCTATATATATGTCTTGCTCAGGGACACATTGGTGTCTCACAGTGGATTCAAGCCCGGGCCTCTCACACCAAAGGCATGTGTTTTATCCACTGCCCTATCACCACACCTGTTTTCTTCTAAAACTCTTTATAGTTTTACTTCTTCCAGGCTACAAAACTTACTTACAAAATAAAAATCTGATGAAGAGAAATGTGTTTTTGTAACCTCATGTACAAGCACCTTCCCCACTGACCTGAGCCATGTGGAACAGGAGCCCTACCAGGATCAGGCCTGTCAAGTGAGGCTCCATTACTTAACCCATCATGTATGCAGCGACAGCAGGAAAATTACCATCAGCTTTCACTTTCATTTTTTCATTTCACAATTTTATTTGCATTAACTAATCCTTTAAGTCTCTGCTTCTCAACTGGGGGTTGGGACCCCCAAAGATAGATCTGAGGGGTCATAAGACTTTAAAAAATAAGTTTAAAATTATTGACTTTTTACAAACATTTCCTCTTGCGTTGCTGTTTTCTTGTGAAACACTGTATAGTTTTACTTCTTCAAGGCTACAAAACTTATTCAAAATAACAATCTGATGAAGAAAAATAGGTTTTCGTAACCTCATGTACGAACACCTTCACCACCACCTGAGCAGCCACTAATTGAACTTTGTATAATTTCCTAGGAAATTTCAAGTTCAGCTCAGACCGGTTTGCTCTTCAGGCCCCAGGCCCACGATGTTCCTCCCGAGGCATGTTTGGCATCCCAACCTGACCTACCACACTTCCTCCTTTTCAGGTATAAAAGCGAGCGACATCACAGCTGCTCTTTACTCTCTGCTCAGGGCCGACAACCAGCCGACTTTTAGACATGACCTCCTTCTCCAGCAGCAGCAGCTACTTGTCCTCCTCCCACCTGGGTAGCTTTAGGGCTGGCAGCGTGTATGGAGGAGCTGGAGGATCTGGAGTCCGTGTGTCCACGGCCTCCTTCTCCTCCTCCGGTGCTAGAAGTGCTGGCAGAGCCTTCAACCTGAGCGACGCAATGGACATCTCGGTCAGCGAGAAATCCACCATGCAGAACCTTAACACCCGCCTGGCCACCTATCTAGAGAAGGTGCGCAGCCTGGAGAAGGCCAACGCCGATCTGGAGCTGAAGATCAGAACGTTCCTGGACAGCAAAGTTGCGCCAGAGGCTCACAACTATAGCAGCTTCACCGTCCAAATCAAAGACCTGCAGGACCAGGTGAGAACAGGAAGACGGATTCTAGTGGGGCTACTTTACCCTGAATTTAGCCTTCTTGGTAATATTTCTTGAAAATTAGGATACATTTTAAAGTAAACTAAGAGTTAATTTATAAAAGCTAAAAACCAAACAGAACATAAAACAGTGTTGGATAAAAAGAGAAAGGGTTTGTGCTTGAAATAAAATCCAATACAGATGGGCTTCTAAAAGCATCTCACCAAGAATAGAGATACAGGAAATAAAATATGTAGCAATTAATAAATATAACGTAAATGTTTTGTAATTTTCGAAAAGGCTGAAAAACTTGTACGAAGTTTGGTTGGTGGCTTGTCAGACGTTTCTCCGTGGTTAACTGCACCCGGTGAGGCTGAACTCTCATTTACTTTATGTTAAAATTATAAATGTTTATTTGAAGTGATCTTTATTAATCAATCCAGCTTCAAAGCATGAGTTAACTTCTCATCAATGCAGTTTTCTGTCTTACTCAGTCCTAAAAGTCTTATTTTCTTAAAACCAGTGAAAATTCAAGTTCAACCAACACAAAGCAACATGAATGTTCGTCAAGTATCACTTTCTTTGTTCTGCTGCAGTAAGTTGCCTTTCCTGTCCGTTTCAGGAGACACACATCTTTTTTTAAACAAGTTAATTTGTAGTAGACACTACAAATGAGCTTACCTTAAAAATGAAGACCTTTAGAACTCAACAGCGGATAGAAAAATTATATATATGTTATACATTTACAAAGAAAGAAGACATATTGAGTAAACAGTTGTTTTTGTAATACAATGTAAAAAATATTTAGCTAAATATGTGTTGACTTTAAAAAAAACATCAGAAAATTCCTACATGTAACAGGTTATATCACTTACGTAAGTGTGAGTTCACTGCCTGAAGAGTAAGAGAGATTTTTCTTATGTTTTTTAAAGTTGAACCTTTTTTAATATTTGATCTTTTTATATATAAAGTTTTAAGTTATTAATTATTCAGAATTAAGGTGTTTTTTATTTATGATTTTTCTGTTTTTTAAAGCTTAAGTTTTATAACTCTTGGGGTAAAAAATGTTGCTGGTTTTGTAGCCACTTGGTGGCAACAGAGCTCCATGGAATGAATCTACACTGCATGCACAATTATTAGGCCAGTGATCATTTTGACCATAGCATGATTTCCATGGATATTTTCCAACTCCAAGCTTTAAAAAAGGTAAATGCTTATTGGATTTAAGCATATCAGGTGTGTGCTTGTTGAAGATCACCACCCTGTATTAAGGTGTTTGTAATTATTAGGCAGCTTCACTGCTTCAGGTAAAATAGACATTTAACAGACACTGAAAGGTCAAAATTGGCATGGCATGGCATTGACATGTGACACGTGTCAAGATTGGGCAAAGAAATACCTCAAGATTTTTCAAATGTTTGATGGATAAATGAAATGAGAGTGACTGGAATGGAGCAGACAGGCTGGATCACTGATGGACACGGCACCATTTTGACTCAGGGGCCAGCGAGGTGGAGGTACAGGTACTGGTATGAGCTGCCATCATTAAGGATTAGAAAGTTGGATCTTTTCGGGTTGAAGATGAGCTGAAACTCAGCTCCCAAACCTACTGTCATTTTCAGGAAGATACTTTCTTCAAGCAGTTGTACAGGAAGAAGTCCTCATTCAAGATGATCATGGCCATGGTCTTTAAGCAGGACAATGATCCATCACATGCATCCAAGTACTCCACAGTACTACCTAACAAGGGCCTCAAAGATTCCAAAATAAGGATCTAGCCCTCATCCTCACCTGACTTGAATCCTCTTGAGAACTTCCCTTCTAAAATGTCAGATTTGCAGTCAGGGACGACAACACACACCTTTGAACAGCATTTTGGAGGCTGTGGTTGTTGCTTCAGCAAAAGTTCATTGTGAACAAATCAAGAAACTGATATTTTGATGATTGACAGGCCCTGATGGTGCAAATGCAGCAGGAAGTGTGAAGTAGGAGGAATCCTGGAGAGAGGAGAGTACGCTGGCGTTTGTTGTTTGCCGCTTCTCCGCCATTTTCTCGTTCTGAACAGTATTTTGCTTTTGAGTTTTTGTACGGATCGACACGAAATTGAAGGCTTTACTCATCTACTGCCATCTCCTCCAACATAGGCAGATTGTTGGTCACCTCCCGCTGTCAGCGGTGAACACCCCGATTTCTTAGTCATTCCAGCGCTGCCACTATGAGCTATACTCCCGGGGCAGCCATCTAGCTGTCCCAGTCCGGTTCGGCCTCAAGCCTAGGGCCAATACCTCTGCAGCTGGTAGCTAGTTGTGAGCTGCCTCAAACCAGTCCTCCGTGCCTTGTGCACCCCGCTGACATGATATGGACCATTTTCTCGCTGTGCCTGACAGTCCTCGTTCTCTGTGTTTGCCTAACGGCTAGCTCCAGGCTAACGACAGGCATGAAGCTCAAGTACTCCATCCCACAGCTGCTAAATCTCAACCACACCACCATTTCAACGTGCATTGCAGCCATCAAAGAACTTGAACTTCAGCGCCATCCATGTTACATAAACACAGAAGTTCCCATCGAAAGTTTGTTAACTATCAGCCTGGGCACTCGCTTCAAACATTCCATCCATCTGGACAACTGTCGCACGTCAGAGCAGTGTCGGTCTCGGTGCTAGCAACATTGCATTGCAAGATCTCTTCATGCTCAGCTGATCAGCACGGGAAACACCTCGAGATCTCGCCACACTAAGCAGGCCAGAAAACGTGGAGTGGATTCCAGTGTACTACGGCCTCTACAGAGATTTACCACAGCATCAACACTCAAAATAGAACTTTTCAATACACAATCCTGATTGTGTAGGCTGCCTGCCTCCCCTCTCTCACTCTTTCTTTCTGTTCCTCTCTTGCCCTCTCTCTCTCTCTCTCTCGCTTCTGTAAATAACATCATAGAGTACGGTCTAGACCTGCTCTTTTATGAAAAGCGCTGTGAGGTGACTGTTGTTGTGATTTGGCGCTATATAAATAAACTTGAATTGAATCAATCCCTCACAAATAAAGCATCCTTCATACAAGACCACATCATAGACAAGGGATTAGACTTCATGTGCCTAACAGAAACATGGCACCAGCCAGGGGTTTACTCAGCACTAAATGAAATCTGTCCCCTCTGTTACAGCTACCTGGGGAAAGCCTACAGTACTGGTCGTGGTGGCGGCCAAGCTATCATACACCGACAGAACTTGGAGCTTTTTCATCTCGCACTGCCTGCACTGTCCTCATTTGAATGCCTAGCATATAAATGTAAACCCCCTTCCCCATGACAATGCTCCTCATTTACCGGCCACCCAAAACCAACTCAGCATTATTATACTTAGTTTAGTTAGAGTTTCTGCAACTACTGGACTGCCTCAACCTCCAACAACATGTTGATGTCCCCACACACTCCAGGGGCAGAGGGGGCATGGAATTTCATTCCACTGCTATGCTGATGACAGTCAACTCTACCTCAGGACAAACCCAGCCCCCTCTGCTGGGCTGCCATCATCCACTCTGACCGCCTGCCTGGAGGAGGTAGGGGTGTGGATAAAAACTTTCTGCAGCTCAAAGACTGAAGCCATCTTAGTCGGCACTCCACACCACGTTCGGTCATCTGACATTACCAGCATCACCTTCTCTGGCCAAGATATTCCACTTTCAACATCAGCCACCAGCCTGGGTGTTAAAATGGACTCTCATCTGACCTTTGAGGCTCACAATACACATCTCTGCAAGACCCCCTCCTTCCACTGCCAGAACATCGCCAAACTCTGTCCCACACTCACTTCTGGAGATGCGGCAAAGCTTGACCATGCCTTTGTCTCCTCCACTGCAATGCGCTCCTCACCGGGATCCCTGAGAAAAGCTTTCAGAAGCTGCACTACATCCAGAACAGCGCTGCTAGGATCCTGCTGAAGGTGCGCAAACACGAGCACATCACCCTAATCCTCAAATCACTGCACTGGCTTCCTGTCTCACTCAGGATTGAGTACAAGGTCTCCCTCCTTATCCGCCAGTGCATCCATGGTGAAGCCCCCCCCCCCCCCCCCCCCCCCACTTCAAGGAACTCCTCCCCCACAGACCTCCACACGTAACCTCCCAGGACCAAGCTCCATACAATGGGAGATTGCGCTTTCTGCTCAGCTGCTCCCGGTCTGTGAAATGCTCTCCCTGACCACCTCAGGACACCACAGACTGTGGATGATTTTAAACGTGGCCTTAAAACCCACAAAACGTTTCATTGTCCGGTGGTCATGCCTCAAAAGTTTGAGGTGTTGCATCTATCTGAGGGGCATTTTACAATTTTTATTTTTCAGTGTTGGCCCATTTTACCTGAAGCAGTGAAGCTGCCTAAATATGCATAGCTTGATATAGGGTCTTGATCTCCTTAGGCCACACCATCCCTCATTACACAAACACATCATCTGATATGCTAATAAGCATTCCAAATTATACAGTTTAGAGATAGAAAATATGCATGAAATGATGATTTGGTCAAAATACTAATAATTGTGCACGCAGTAAAAGGAAGCCCTTTAGCCAAACTGCCAGTTGTTCATATAATTTTTCTCTTCCTTCCTGCTCAGATTTATTTTGCAGCTAGTAGAAACGCCGCCCTTGTCCTCTCCATCGACAACCTCAACCTGGCCACCAACGACTTCAAAGTCAGGTGAGTGTGAGATTTTGTTTCGACCAACATCAAATCGAGCATCAAGGATGCAACATGAAAGAATCCTGCACAAGTTGTCTTTCTTAGATCTTGTTCTTCCCAATCATGAAAACATTCAGGAGACTTTCCTGAAACTCACTGTCGTGTTTTTCAGGTACGAGAACGAGCTGATCATGCGTCAGTCAGTTGAGGCCGGCATCGCAGGTCTGAAGAGGGTCCTGGACGAGCTGACTCTGAGTCGGACTGACCTGGAGATGCAGATCGAGGGTCTGATGGAGGAGCTGATCTTCCTCAAGAAGAACCACCAGGAGGTCAGTGGGCTTTCAGGTCTAAAAGAGTTTTGGGGTAAATAAAATGGCTAAATGACATTAAACACTGTCACCTTGTAGGAGCTGCTGGCGATGCGAGCTCAGATGGGCGGTCAGGTGAACGTGGAGGTGGATGCGGCTCCAGCAGAGGACCTCAATAAGGTCATAGAGGACGTCAGGAAGCACTACGAAGCCACTGTTACCAAAAGCCGCAAAGAATTGGAGGCGTGGTTCAATGCAAAGGTAAGGACCTGATTTTAGCCACGCTAGAGACTCTTGGACTCACGTCTGTCCGTCCACCCCTGTAGTTCAGACTGAAACATTGTGATGAAATGTGGTTCAGACCTTCATGCTCCCCTCAGGATGAACTGTAATAACTTTGGTGATCCTCAGACTTTCCATCTAGCGCCATCATCAGGTCAACATGTTAATAACGTGCTGTTTCCTCTACAGACAGAAAACCTTCACAAAGAAGTCGCTATCAGCACAGAAACCCTCCAGTCGTCCAAATCCGAGATCACAGATCTCAAACGAACGCTGCAGAGCCTGGAGATCGAGCTGCAGTCCCAGTTCAGCATGGTGAACATCACGTCTCATCACTTCTTTTATGTCCAGTGTCTTAGTGAGGTAATAATAAAACTGATCCAGCTCCTCTCTCCTGCAGAAAGCGTCGTTGGAGGCCACCCTGAATGAGACTCAGAACCGGTACACCATGCAGCTGACGGGTTACCAGAACCAGGTGACCATGCTGGAGGATCAGCTGACGCAGCTGAAGGCCGAGCTGGAGAGGCAGTCCCAGGAGTACCAGATGCTGCTGGACATCAAGACCAGGCTGGAGATGGAGATCGTCGAGTACAGGAGGCTGCTGGACGGAGAAACTAACAGGTGAGTGGAGGAAACAGTCGTTCACAGCCGTTAACTCTTTAAAAACATGTTGAACAAGTACTTGAGGACAAAGACTCACAACCATCTTTAACCAAAGTTCATCACTTCTACTTGATGATTACTTCTTGACTCTTTTCTGGAAACTCAGACCAGAAAACCAGAAATGCTAACAGCAGCAAGCTAACATGCTGAAGCTTAAAAGGTATAATGTTTACCATGTTCACAATCTTAATTTAGCGTGTTAGCATGCTAACATTTGCTGATTAGAAATCACAATTTGACACATTGCATTTAAAAAATCTTTTCAAGTATCTTTAGACAGAAAAAAGAGAAATTAACTGAATCAATTATTTTCCGTCCCGTGTTTCTGCAGCACCTCCACCACCACCAAGACCACCAGGGTCATCACCATAGTGCAGGAAGTGGACAGCTCTGGATATGTGGTGACCAGCAGCAGCAAATAAAACAGGAAACACCTCCGACCAATCAGATGCTGTGAACTGAGTCTCTCTCAGGTTCTTCAATAAAAATGAAGTCTGACATTGTTTCTGTGGTTCATGTGCTTTTATTTCACACTCACACATCAGATGGAATGATTTTTATCTACGAGAACAGAAGTCTTTTTCAGTCAGGATATAAAATGAAGGCAACAAAAGTAAATATATTGTTAATATTTTTATGGCAGTTGTTGTGTAACATCAGTTATAAATCTTCACAGGGACAAAACATTTCCACCCGCATCACAGTATGACAAACCATTACAATAAACACCATCTGCAGTAATCAGCAGGTGGAAAACTTCTATTCAGTTACATCTGCATCTCCATGTCTTCACCATGTCATGAACCAGTATGTACAATATGGGGGAAGAAGTATTCTGAATCACTACACTGCACTACAAGTAAAACTCCTGCACTCAAAACCTTACTGAAGTAAAAGCAGTCAAGTAAAATATTCCTGTCAGAGTTTCTCTGTTATAACTGATGTTTCTGGATTAATATTCCTGCTGCATTCATGTGGATGTTGGATTTTACTGCTGCAGATGTTTTAACTCCTTTATATCCTGTTCATCCTGCAAGTTATCACTAACACCTGAGATACTTGGGTTTTCACTTGACAGGAAGGCGATCAAATACAGTAATTTGTAAAGTAACTAAAGCTGTCAGACTCATGGATTGCAGTAAAAAGTACAGTATTACCCTCTGAGGTGTGGTGGAGTGGAAGTAGAAAGCTGCATAAAATGGAAATACTCGAAGTACAAGCAGGTGAAGTCAGCCTGGATGGAAATGAGTTGAGGTAGTTAAAATCTGTCTGTACAACAAACTATAGGAAGTTAACAAAATCATTTAAATGAACCAGAGTTGTTTTCCAGGGTTACTAACATGTTTTTCCAAGGTGACTTCATCTCCATTAACGAAAGAATGGACTCAACATCAAATAAGTTCAGTCAGAAACACTTTCTGTCTGTCATTCTTGTTTCTTTCATGGCCGTGATGTCCGGATGAAGCCTTGTGGAGCTTTCTTTCCATTTGTGCCACAAAAAAAGATTCAAAGCTTCTGCTTTACAGTGACACCTGGTGGTTTGTAAAACAAACAGCAGCCCTTCAAGACTGGAGCTGAAGCACCACCACACCGCCCTGATTTTGATGGTTTTAGTCAAAAAGCGTGCAGGGTACGCACACACAAAAAACATCTGCAGGTGCTGGGTCACAAAGCAAACTAAATATCTGCACACTGTAAAAACAGCTGCAATTAACTTTAGATGAGCAACGATTCGAGCTAACAGGTCTTCATCAGGCATTGCAAAATCACCATCACGAAGCAGAACAGGCAACACATTGGCAAAAAGGCTTTCATCTCTCAGGTGATTGTGGTCTGCACGACTAAGAATCAATCTACTCTCAAGCTGAAACAGGAACCAATAAGATCAGCGTTATCCAGCCATCACATCTGAAGCTGCGTCAAATATTTTACATAAATTATCCATGTGATATATTACTTGTTTTTTTTAGCAATACGGGCAAGTTCAGTGTAGTATCCAATATTTATGCATTTGACTCATGACAGTTCAAAATAGCACTGTAGCAGCAGGACAGAGGGTCATTGACCTCCTAAGGGAAGAGCAGTGATTGGTGGTTATGTAGGGACTGAACCCTTCTATAGAATTTGACCTCTAACCCCTTGTTTTGTTACCTCAGAATAGTACTGTACCCTCCTATGGGTTTGACCTTTTACTTTGCAGACTCAAACCCTTCTATGGTACCTAACAGTATTAAACAGTATCCTATATAAGCTGTGTTTGATGTACAGAGAGACAGAGTGGCCATCGGGCTGGGTCTCTCTCCAAGCTGCTGCAGAGCTTGTAATTGATGCTGAACTCCTTGATTGATCAAGAACAGTGTCAAGCGGGTTTCTTCTCAACACATCATCGCAGCATTATTGTTCGAACACCACATCAGCCTCACAAATGGCCAGAAGTTTTATTGATACCTAAACAACAGGAAAAACAATGAAACAACGAAAAGGTTGCATCAACAGACTTTTGGAAGAGACGATTCGGATATCTTCATTAAGATATGTGAGAGTAAAGCAAGCAAGACGCAAGTCTGTCAATCATACAGCCTCTGTGCGGATATATTTATGCCACTCCCTTCATATCAAACCTAATTACTGATTTCCCAAGCAATTGTTTGCAGTTATGCAGCTTGTTCTCTTCTGTCAAATCTTTGATGTGTCCGGATATTGACGTTGGAGAAGATTCAACAGCCTGCGGGTTAGAAGGCAAGTTAATTTGTATGGCACATAATTAACAACAAGGCAAGGGATTAAGATAAGCAGCAAGCCATTCCAGTACAACTTCAAAGAGTTAAATAGACTACATGTAGCTTCTTAATGAAATCCCTTTTTTCCTGCCTGTTTGTGAATGGGTCGCCACATCACATAAGAATGAATCACGCATCTGCTTCCTCTGTTGCTTGGAACAGCCACTATTCTGCGTTTTATGTGGACTGGATTTTCTGCATGCGTTTTCCTGAAAGATTCCACTAAGACACAGAAACAACAAGCACCAAGAAACTGTCGCCGTTTGCTTCGTAAAGTTCAATTAAGATATTTTGTGGCTTTACACTCAGGTACACAGACTAGTCACAAAGTAACGGAGGACTCCTATGCTAGTTTCAGTCCCTCCCAAATCGATCATCTTGTTGATAGTGCTGTAGGCTCGCTGCGAATGACACTCGACTCTGTAGCCCCTCTAAAAAAGAAAATACTAAAACAAAGATGGTTAGCTCCATGGTATAATACTGAAACTCGCAAATTAAAGCAAATATCGCGGAAACTTGAGAGGAATTGGCGTTCCACCAAAGTGGAAAATTCTCGTTTAATTTGGCAAGATAGTCTTAAAACTTATAGGAAGGCCCTCCGTAATGCCAGAGCAGCGTACTACTCGTCATTAATAGAGGAAAATAGGAACAACCCCAGGTTTCTTTTCAGCACTGTAGCCAGGCTGACAGAGAGTCACAGCTCTATTGAGCCAAGTATTCCCATAGCTCTCAGTAGTTACGACTTCATGAGCTTCTTTAATGATAAAATTCTAACTATTAGAGACAAAATTCACCAAGACCTGCCCTCAACTGGCACCGACTTATCTCTAAACTCAGGAACCTTAGAAACAGCTGTAGAACCAGATACATGTTTAGACTGTTTTGCTTCCCTCAATCTTTACCAGCTAACTTCAATAATTTCTTCATCTAAACCATCAACCTGCCTCTTAGACCCCATCCCGACTAGGTTGCTTAAAGATGTTTTACCCTTAGTCAGCACCTCTATACTAGATATGATCAATCTATCTTTATCAACAGGCTATGTACCTCAGTACTTTAAAGTAGCTGTAATTAAACCTCTTCTGAAAAAGCCCAAACTTGATCCGGATGTTTTAGCCAACTATAGACCTATATCTAACCTTCCATTTCTCTCTAAGGTTCTGGAGAAAGCAGTTGCTAAACAGCTGTGTGACTTTCTACAGAGCAATAGTTTATTTGAGGATTTTCAGTCAGGATTTAGAGCTCATCATAGCACAGAGACAGCACTTGTGAAAATTACTAACGACCTCCTTATTGCATCAGACAAAGGACTTGTCTCTGTACTCGTTTTATTAGATCTAAGTGCTGCATTTGATACCATTGACCATCAGATCCTATTGCAGAGACTGGAATATTTCATTGGCATTAAAGGAACCGCTCTAAGCTGGTTTAAGTCCTATTTATCAGATCGATTTCAGTTTGTACATGTTAATGATGAGTCCTCCATGCATGCCAAAGTTAGTCATGGAGTTCCTCAAGGATCTGTCCTTGGACCAATCCTCTTCACTTTATATATGCTTCCTTTAGGCAATATTATCAGGAAACATTCCATAAGCTTTCATTGTTATGCAGATGATACTCAGTTATATCTATCGATCAAGCCAGATGAAACTCATCAGTTAGCTAAACTTCAAATGTACCTTCAGGATGTTAAAACCTGGATGACCTGTAATTTTCTCATGTTAAACTCAGATAAAACTGAAGTTATTGCTCTGGGGCCTAAGCACCTCCGTGACGCATTATCTAAAGATATAGTTTCCCTGGATGGCATCGCCCTGGCCTCCAGCATCACTGTGAGGAATCTTGGAGCTATCTTTGATCAGGACATGTCGTTTAAGTCTCACATTAAGCAAATTTCAAGGACCGCCTTTTTTCACCTACGTAATATTGCGAAAATCAGGAACATCCTGTCTAAAAATGATGCAGAAAAACTAGTCCATGCATTTGTTACTTCTAGGCTGGATTACTGCAATTCCTTATTATCAGGCTGCTTGAAAAAGTCCATTAAGACTCTTCAGCTGATCCAGAATGCTGCAGCACGTGTTCTGACAGGAACCAGGAAAAGAGATCACATTTCTCCTGTTTTAGCTTCTTTGCATTGGCTTCCAGTAAAATCCAGAATAGAATTTAAAATCATTCTTCTTACCTACAAAGCTCTTAATGGTCAGGCACCATCTTATCTTAAAGAGCTCATAGTACCTTACTACCCCACCAGAGCACTGCGCTCCCAGAATGCAGGGTTACTTGTGGTTCCTAGAGTTTCCAAAAATAGACTAGGAGCCAGAGCGTTCAGCTATCAAGCTCCTCTCCTGTGGAACCAGATTCCAGTTTGGGTTCAGGAGGCAGACACCATCTCCACATTTAAGAGTAGGCTTAAGACTTTCCTCTTTGATAAAGCTTATAGTTAGGGCTGGCTCAGGTAGTCCTGAACCATCCCTTAGTTATGCTGCTATAGGCCTAGACTGCCGGGGGATTTCCTATGATGCACTGAGCTCCTCTCTCCTCTACTTTCTCTCCCTCTGTATGCAACCTCATCCCATTATTGCATGTTACTAACACAACTTCTCCCCTTTCTGGTAGTCTTGTGCTTTCTCGTCTCTCTCCTCTCTCCTATCACTTCCTGCAGGTTTTCTGGCTCTGGAGCTGTGGAGTCTGGATCTGTGGTTGCGGGTCACCTGCTGCCC